GGTGGTTGGCCGGCGGCTGCCCCGGCAGAGACTGTGGCATGAGCTGAAGAGGTGGGGGAGGGGCGCCGGGCGGGTGCTGGTTTGGCAGAGAGTTGAGGGGCTTTAGGGCAGGTGGAGGGGGCAGATTGGAGGGCATCTGTGGGAAAGGTGAAGCCGACTGATGGGGAAGCTGTTTGTGTGACGGTGGAATCGGCGTCGTTGGGGGAGGCTTGATTTGTGGTCCGCCCAGAGGGGAATGAGGGAGCTGTGTCTCCCTGAAGAACGGCAGCGGTCGCTGGGGGGCCTGAGGTGAAAGGCCCTGCGTCTGCAGAGGGGGCGCTGAGCTGAGCGCAGGCGGGGTCTGAAATGTTGAAAACGGAGAAGGTTCCTGAGCAGCTGCTGACGGAGGAGGATGTGGACCAGACAGAGGGTGAGAGCCGGGTTGCGGTCGGCTGGTCTGAGGCCCCTGAGCTGCGGGGAGAACGGCTGCTGACGGAGGGGAATCTGGTGACGGAGGAGGAGGAGGGGTGCTCTGAGTGGAATCAGCAGAGGAGCTGCTTGGCGGGGGGTCAGGGGCGGCAGCAGCAGCTCCCTGAGGTCCCTGGATCGGTTGCAGGACTGGTGTGTCCACCAACACAGCAGAGGGCGCAACAGGCTCTAGCGGGACGCCGGCGGGCTGGGCGGATGAGTCCGAGTCGCTCTCGTTGCCCGGTTGAGGGCTGGGAATGCTGGGAGAGGAGCTGCGGTTGTCCTGATCAATATCTTTGGTGTCACTGCTGCCGTCATCCTGAGCGCTGCGGCTTTCTGACGAGCTCTCCTCCTCCACCTCAGCCTCCCCCTCTGAGCGGGAGCCCTGTGGATCCTGAACACAGACCAGAGACCAAACTCGTATTTAAAACCCTGTTCGTGTGCAGGTTCTAAAGAAGGACAGACCTGCACTTGCACCAGATTGAAGATCAAAGGTGTCGACAGAGGGTCACGTGACCTCCTCCTACTGACCTGCGTCTTCAGCCTCTTGGATGTAACTTTTTCCGGCTCCTGAGCTGGACTCTCGCGGACACGTTTGGTTGTCTTTGGTAACATGACCTCCTCTTTTATTCTCTGTTGACAAACACAGATCATATTGATGATTATAATGATTATAAAAACAGAATAAAACACTGAATGTACGAGCACTGTTCAAAGAAAACTCTCTGTTTGCTCGTGTTGTGAGTCTCGACTTTGCATTTCAACACCTTTTCTTCACACTTTAGCTGCAACACTAAACCCCCTGAAAACCACTAAGTAGACTAGAGGGGGGAAGAAATGTGTCAGCGTGAAAGCATAATTATAATGTTACATCTGCCCAGGAAACTGAATACAAATGAAACTGTTCACACTGTAATTTGTCAGCGTGATGTGCGGATGTTGGTGTCGGTTCACAAACTCCTTTCAGAGACTTCAGGTTCACAAACATTTTCTACAGATTTCACAACACGGCGCAGCTTTTTTTTTTTTTTATCTGCCTGTCGATCACATCTGCTCATTGTTTATACCTTGCTTGACCTCTTCGTGGATTCACTCTTGTCCGTGGATGATGACCTCAGTGAATTGGAGGTCACTCTGCTGGGAGATGGCTGGTTACTGGACTGTTCTTCACTGGTGGGGGAGCCAGTGAGCCTCCTGTGGCCACTTCTTAAAGATGACAGCTGCTTTAAAAAACACACACAGGAACAGCTGAGGGTTAGATTTCTGGACTATGGTTTCCTATAAACTGACTTCTTCATACATGAAACAAAATCCCAGCTGGATTTCAGGACAATGATCTGTGAGGGCAGGTCTTACAGGTGCTCTGCTCCGCCGTGTCCTCATGCCATGCTTGCTGTTCATCACTTCTTCCTCCTTCACAGGTTTAAACATGAATGAAGCGCCTGGGGATTTTGGAGCATGGGGCAGACAGCCGTGTCTTTTTTCATGTAAGCGACAAGTTGAGCAGAGCAGATGGTGATTATCTTTACCCCCCTGGTGCCAATCCTTAGAACCTGTTAGGAGAAAATGGTTCGAAGGTTCAAGTCTCTCAAAAAGGCCGATAGAATTTCCCTGTGAAACAATAGCACGACATCAAACAGTGACGCAGGGCCGGTGAAGAACAGACTTGTACTCACTTGTTGCACCACAGTTGCTGCAGGACTTGATTTCCTGTTCACTGTCTTCACTGTCCAGATCGTCCTCACTGGCAGAACTCGCATCCACTGCAACACAGTCGGCTTTTTTGAGATCCCAGCACAATTCCTTACATGTTAAGACATTAAAAAGTGCTCACCTGAATAATTACGTGACGTTGTGTTTACCGAAACTGCCGCAGAGCGAGTCTTGGCCTTACGCGAGGACGGCTCTCTGCGCTGCTGTCGATAAGCTCTCGTTCCTGCAGCCTCGGGAGTTTTCTTCCAGTGGTAATAGAAAGAGATCAGCTCTCCCTGAAATTTAAGAAATTTATATGAATTCAAAAATGTAAGAGCAGCCATGAATTACAGAGTAGTATATACACAAAAATGTTTCATTACGGTCTTTTTGCTGGGTAGGAAATCCTTGCGGATGCGAAAGAAATTTTTCCCGTATTGTCGCAGTCCTTTGATGAAATGTTTCTGTAGGAACAGTTAAAAAAAAAAAGACAGATGCTTCAGAAAAGTCAGTCTTATTCACTCTTACCGTACTTTAGCTATTAATGATGTAGCATTCCTCCAACAACACATCCTGAGCTGTCAGACACGGTGATGAAAAACAGTCTCACCACATCAGCCTCGGACCAGCATTTCTCGATCAGCTTCGGCAAAGGCTTCTTCACCAAACGCTGAAGAGCTTTGGCTGCATCATAATGACTCGCATGGAGCTACAATTGAGAAAAAAACAAACAAAACTGGTGTTTAATAATAGGGTAACACTATATGTATCAGAATACAGGGGCAACAATACTATATTATACTATAGCAGACAGAGGGATCTACATTTGTAGACACTAGTGAAGAAATAAAGGAAAAATAAAATGTATAAAGTGGTGTATAATACTGACACAGTATTGGGAAACGAAATATCACAAAGTATTGACATATCGATATTTTCTCACACCCCTTTTAAATCATGTATATTTTGAATTAGGCCGTTTTCCGCACCATATTGAGAGCGTTTAGTGTGGTGTCGTCACGGGAGGCTGCTAAACACCCATCCTCTGTGGATCCACCATCACACATCCCTGCGAATGCTGCCATGCTCCTGTGTACATCAAGCAAAAGACAGGAGCGCTTTAGCTTTCAGAGAATAAGAACAGCAACACGTAGTAACAGTAACAGGATGGATACGGACCTCGCAGCTCTAAGGTACATCAGGAGGTCACAGTCATTGACCCCCGGCGTCCACATGAGCTCCTCGAGCTCCGTCTGCGTCTGTGTCTGTGAAGCAGGAGCAGGAGCAGGAGCAGGCCGGGGCTGCAGCTCTGGAAGCTTAGCCTGAAAAAAGAGGATGATAATGGGAACCTCTGTTGTAACACTTTTCCTGTGTGTTTATATGAGAACTTGACTATGAGAACGACACAGAAGTAAAGTAGTCCCTGATGTTTACCTGATGACTTGGCCCCACCCTTATCTCACCCTGCGTGCTGTTCAAGCTCCTGGAAAAACAAAAAACAAAACAAAAAAAAAGATATACACAGAAATTAAATTCAACATGTGAATGCTCAAAAGATTTCAGTTTTCATTTGCCCTGGGCACGAGAGGGGTTTAAAATGGTATTATTTTCAATCTTTGTTATGGTTTCGGTCAGAAGCCACAGAGTAAATATATGTCTGAGACACAATCAATATCTGTGGAGTTGTCAGAGCAGATGTCGTCCACCTCTTCAGCCAATTTTACACTCAACACAGCAAATATCAGTCTCCGTGTCAATGCCGTCTGGATTATACATCTTGCAGAGTTTGGCATAGGACTTTGGAATTCTTTTACAAATGCATTCCAGAGAATTCTAGCCCAACAGAACTGAAATAATGAGCAGCTGCAAGACCACAGGCAAGATCGTGTGATGGATTGTTGAGATGATTTATAGGGCAATTAAAAAAAGAGAAGCCACGCGTAGTGTCTGATGTACACAATAGTAGCTGAAACACAAGCTAACCTTGCTAACCTACCTAACACACTGCTGCCGGTTCATTTTGATATTCCCAAATTTCTTAATCAGTTTCCTTGTCCGAGTGTAACTTACCCTTTCTTTGACTACCCAATACTTTTTAGTGGCGACTCTGTATTTGTAAGACTCGTTGCTGCCACCTACTGGGTCTAGTTTCAACTGGTAAACACTGCCCTACGAATTGGTAAAATGAAGGAAAAGAAGAAGAAAAAAACAGGCAGGAGACAACATTTAGCAGAGGAAAAAAACCAACGTTAACTCGTTGTAACCCGTTTACATTAATTTTTTATTCTTATATCTTTTTGCACACTTAACGTAAATTCGTATTCATCTCTGTCCAAACTCTACCATTCGCTGACACAGTACATTACACCACATTAAGGTCAATTTTGACACAGGCGTTCATCCGTCTTCAGCTTGGCCTATATTCCAGTGGTAAACGTTTCCACTCAGAACTGACCTAAATCTTTGCAAATTAAAAAAAAAAAAACTACAGACGGAGGGCAGTGTCACTGCAGATCAGAACAGCAGCATGTACCAACTGTGGCCCGCTACAACCACAGACCTGACGGCGGAGGTTAAACGCTTCAGCTCCCGTTAACGCATACGTTTACCAACATTTTTATAACAACAGCATTCGCTATTACCACAGCAGGGGTAATCGTGACAGGAAATCCCCACATAATCCACTGTCTACACCCAGTAAATACAGTGTATGAAGCAGCGGAACAACCCGCCCCTCCTTCGGTGTGAACCAATCTCAGCTGTCACCTGTGATGTTTCCTTATATTACATGAATGAAATCCGACTCTTGACACTACCAAAGAGTGTCAATCAATCATTCAAGAGCTGCTAATTCCCTCGCTCAACATCAGGCAAATACCGACTGTTTGCGTTCTTACAGCCGATACACGCAAACAACATTAAATACCGACGTTAGCATATCCACAGCGTTGACACACACGGGGATAAACGACACACACATATATATATACATTTAACGATGCATACGGTTAATCGCATTTATTATTTATTCGACGAGGCTGCAGGAATATAAGTGAAGTGAAAAAAACAACAACAAAAAAACAATCACAAAACCGTTTCCTCGGATTAGTCGTAAACCGTTTGGGGAAGCTGTTACGTTACGATAATATTTAGCTAAGCTAAATAGCCAGACTCCAACTTCGTGTCTACCGACACTCGGGACTATATTCCCAAGCATGCCTCTCGACGTGACGACACAAAAACACGAAAAAAGACACAAATAGCACATGGATAAGTCGTAAAAACCAACGTGGATGGTGAATACATCGAGTTACCTGCGCGGACTGAACAGGTCGTCCATGTCGACGGCTCTCCGACTGTGGCTTGTTGACACTACGCAGCGCAGTAGGCGATACACACAAACTATGCGAATCCCCTATTACATGGCTATTCAAAATGGAGGCGGTGTAGTGGAGCGAGTCTGTGTAGTGTTTTTTTTCTCTCTCTCCCTCTCTCTCTCTCTCTCTCTCTCTCTCTCTCTCTCCCCGGTGCAATGACCTCAGCAGGCAGCCACAGCCTTCAAAGTTAGCTGGCTGCTACAGTACTGAGCATGTGCCGCGGATCAGCAGCAGCAGCAGCTGAGAGCAGCTACCACAACTGGTGCTGCTGTTTGGGCGTCCATGAAGGAACGACTCCGCCGCCGTGGTTCATTATGTAAGACACATGATTAGATCCACTCTGTGTCTCTGCCGACGCTCGGGTGTTTATTTAGCTCGACACCGCTGTGCTGCAGGAAACCACAAGAAAACCGTCAACCACAGTCTGTCACTTAAAATAAACTTTTATTATCGGATTTTTCTCTCAGCAACGTAGACGGAGGAGAACACACCATTAAAACCGTCAATGATAGTTTAGTGTTTGTCGTAGAGCGAATACAATAGTATTGAAGACAGTAGATCCCAGAAATAAAAAAATACATTATTTATAAGCAACTGGTGTTGTTATCGTTGTTGTTTTTGTTTGACTTGTACATCATAACACACCGTTATTGTTACTCTTTTATATGTAAACTGTATGGTAACCTGATAAAATACAAAGCACAATACAAAGACCCAGTACTGTTTACAGCAAGAAGTAAATATTTGTGTGTTTTTTAAAAAGTATTTTTTAAACACAGTACCAATTTTCCTTCATAAAGAGTTTGTACAGGTCTGGAAATCTTGTCCAAAGTGAAAACAATTTGCTGAAGATATTTTAAAGTGTACACTCACTATCAAAGAAAGAAAAAATGCACAGTTACATTTTTAATCTGGTAAATAAACACTTAAAAGTGCTATAAGATCTAGTTCAAAGCCGTTAAAACCGTGTCACAATTCCACAGTGAGTTATTTTAACATCAATAGCATGTAAATGTGGATCTGTGTTAGTCTATTGTTGTAGATTTGAATGTCACATTCAATTTAAAATAGGTTTTATCCACTAAGAAATTAATCTATGGCCTTCTGAAGTTTTTCCCCGCAAATTGAGCCTTGTCTCCCAAATCCTCTTCAATTCTACAAGAAAAAAACAATTATATTCATTATTTTAATTCCAGTTTGATTCAATGTAGTTTACTTACAAATACCCATATAAAAAAGTAATACATAAGTAAAATAATTAATACATATTTTTTAAGAGTGTATTTTACATAAGACTTACAATAACCACTTACCTGAGAATCTGGTTGTATTTGGCCAGACGCTCAGAGCGACAGGGTGCCCCGGTCTTGATCTGAAATGATGATTATGTGCAATGATTCAAATCAAAGATTATGTCGATTTAAGTTACACAACCTCCAAATGACCACCCACCTGTCCAGTGCACAAACCAACCACCAAATCTGCAATGAAAGTATCCTCAGTCTCCCCAGAGCGATGGCTAACCATCACACCCCAACCGCTCTCCTGCGCCATCTTACAGCTGTGAACGAAACAAACCTTTTCTCAAGACCACCAGTTGTCCTCCATGTTTGAGGTACAGTATTGTCATGTGATCAAAGTGGCAAATTGTTTGCACATAAGCTAGCACTGGCCTACAGTTGCACTGACATTGCGAATAAAGCTCTATGGTCTTGAACGCTCTCATGGTCACACATTTCTGAGTGCCTGAAACGTGGCCTTACGCTCTGATGGACTCGGTCACGGTGCCGATCTGGTTGACTTTCAGCAGCAGACAGTTGCAGGCTTTCACATCCACAGCCTTGCTAATACGATTGGGGTTGGTCACAGTCAGATCATCGCCAACCACCTGGATGTCTGTGCTTCCTGTGAAGTTTGTCCAGGCCGTCCAGTCATCCTGGTCGAAGGGATCCTCTATGGAAACCACTGGGAGGAAGAAAAAGGATGAAAATGCTGCCGGTTAGTAGGTCATTTTGTACTGGGCTGCAGTGGGACAGAGAAAAAAATGTACTTTCATTTTACTAATTTACTTCATTCCAAAAGAATCCAGTCATATCCCTTTACTTTTTTCATTCAAAGATAATCTGTCCATGTTTCAAAACAACAGGTCAAAGGTCATTCAGACTCTGATATTAACAGGAGAAAGTCTACAAGATGTTTTATATAGTTGAGTCTGGGGCTCATGTACACACCTGTCGATGCTGTCGGTGCTGATGTTGATAAAGAAATATTCAGGCCTGCCGTGCGTTTACTTTGTAACGACAGAGTAGAGAAAACATCAGCAGGTTACCTGGATAATCCTTAACAAAGCTCCTGTAGAGATCAGCCAGTTCATCAGGAGTGATGTAACGACTTGGATCGTCGGGAGACTTGAAGTCCAGATCGTATTTTCCCTCCCGGTAGAATTCGGACGCTGCCACATCCATTCCAATCACAACCTGGTCTGTGTACCCGGCTTTGCCAATGGCCTCCTTCAGTAACTCAAGAGCTGCGGGTTGAACGTGAAAACATGTCTGAATCCAACTTTCCTAATACAGATTTGTGTGGAACAAAAGTCAACACAACTTTACGTAAAGTTAAGAAGGCTACATGCTCTTAAGTTTGGGATATAAGATATTTACTAATGATCCTGTCACTGGTGCTGAATGTCCAATTACAGCATCGTTCTTGACCATAATGGACACTGTTTCACTGCATTGACAGAAATATACTTTAATGATTACCCTCTCCGTTCTCCAAGATGTTTGGAGCGAAACCACCTTCATCGCCCACATTGGTGGCATCCTGTCCATATTTTTTCTTGATGACGTTTTTCAAATTGTGGTACACCTCAGCCCCGATTCGCATGGCCTCTTTGAAGGAGCTGGCACCAACAGGCAGGATCATGAACTCCTGCATGGCAAGTTTGTTTCCTGCATGAGAGCCGCCGTTGATGACATTAAAGGCCTGGTAGAACGAGTTGGAAAGAAAACTTTAATCATTAATTAATATTAAATGAAATCACATTATCCAGATAATAAGAGGGAAAAGAAGCTCCTCACCGGTACAGGCAAAACGACCTCAGGGTTTCCTGCAAGGTCAGCGATGTGGCGATACAGGGGGACTCCGTTCTCTGCTGCACCGGCCTTGCAAACAGCTAGAGAAACTCCCAGGAGGGCGTTTGCTCCAAATTTGGCTTTTGGAATTAAAGAAAAATTCAAGTCACCAATCGCAGCCATTTGATGTAATGTAAACACATTCCTGTAGATGGCGGTAACAGTCATCAGAGTTTATAAATGAAGTAGATACAGATTTCCTACATTTGTTCTCTGTGCCGTCCAAGTCAATCATCATCTGGTCAATACTCTCCTGCTCAACCACAGAAAAACCCTGAGAAAAATACAAACATTTTTGAGCTCAAATATTGTATTCTGAACCTTTAAAATAATATAAAATAATCCATAACCTTTGTAAAAAACATTATTGTGACTATTTCTTACCCTGAACTGTAAAAAATAATTTAAAATAATCCATAAACTTTGTAAAAAAAACATTATTGTGACTATTTCTTACTTGGCCAACAAGTGCAGGTGCAAGGATTGAATTTATATTTTGAACAGCCTGCAAGACTCCTGTAAAAGACAGATTATGATTAATTGATTAATAACATTTAATCTGCACAGTTACTTTGAGTTATTTATTAAAAAATAACTAAACAGACACATTAACATTTTTTTGTAAGTTTTAGTTATAATAAAATGAAACTGCTTTCCCTTAATAGTAAGAAATATAAAACCTAAAAATATGCAAACCTTTTCCAAGATAGCGAGACTTGTCATTGTCCCGGAGTTCCAACGCCTCGTAGATCCCTGTAGACGCTCCACTTGGTACAGCTGCCCTAAACAAGCCTGACAGGAAATGGACATACATTACAATAACATGACAAAAAAAGTAACTGTAAAATGTAGTAAAATAAAAAAACTTTCCAAACATTAGCCAAAGAACCTAATTTTCCTGGCCCAAGATTTTACACAATGGGCCAAAAAGCAAGTTGATAGACAAAGGTTAGCAGCAAGGTATTTCAAACTTTACACCCAAACGTTTCATGTACTTAATAGCCTAAAGCCTCTGGCAGACATACCTCGTTCAGTGTAAAGGTCCACCTCTACTGTGGGATTTCCACGAGAATCAAAGATTTCTCTGGCATGTATTTTGAGAATAGACATGGTGCTGGGCCTCGAAGATGAAGAATACTGCAAATACAAAGTAAAGATTATTTTTTAAAGCTTCTTTCTCTCCTCTCTAATATTACTGCGTAACCTAAAGTTACCCTCAAACTACAGATCAGCCCTCTTCATGCCCAGTTCATGATGTTTATAGGAACAAAAAGTCAATTTCTTTCTCCTGTTCCTCTCTCTTACCCACCGTTCTTCCGATGTTGAGGCTTACTGACTTATCCTGACCAAGCTTAGAAGTACTGACATGCATACTAGAGTCCTAATTGGATTAGATCCCTTATTTCCTCCTCATCTGATTGATCACATGGCCGTTTTTAAAAAGGAAAAAGCTTTAAGTGTTAGATAGAACACAACGCTTTCAGTTTCCCCGTGGGCAACAAGGTTTGATTAAAGAAATACCAAAACTGTTTGGCCCTTTGGAGTCCTTGTCCGAACTGTTGCCTCACAGCAAAAAGGTCACTGCTCAAGGTTTTGCTCTGTGCAGATGGCTTTCTTTTTGGGCTTTAAATGTTTCTCTCTCTCTGTATTTTTTATTCAATTATATCCCCACTGTGAGCATTACAATAAATAAATACATTTTAACTGTATCGTATGCGCGTTTACAAACCTGAATTCAATGTATTTGTTTGTATTAAATCCCCCGACGTTCTTTTGTTATTGTTGTAAGTAGCCCACCAGAGCTGTAGGTGGCAGTGGCGCGTCGTTTGCGTTGTTTGGTCACCGCTCTTTTCTTTTAAACGAAGAAGCGCCTTCATGTGTTGTGAACGGTCTGAATGAATGGTTTAAAACGGCGATACATTTTTATTTTACTTCCCAAACGTTGTGGTTAAGAGAAAACTAAAAGAAACGCAAGATATGATGTTGTCAGGGATACCGTCAGAAACGTGGCAGCCGCCAAAGGTTGCTCTGGAAACAACGTAAGTTTGTATAGAAAGTCTGACGGCTAAGTTAGCTTCATGCTGCTCTTCCTGTAGTGCTGATAGTTTGAAGGTCTGTGGGTTACAGGATGGGGACGGTAGTGGTGGAATTGTACTGGCAACACGCTCCAAAGACCTGCACGAACTTCGCAGAACTGGCCCGTAGAGGGTACTACAACGACACCAGGTTCCACAGGATAATCAAAGACTTCATGGTGCAGGGAGGAGACCCGACAGGAACAGGTGGGTCCAGGCATCATCCTTCTTTAGACACAGTTTAGCGCCTGAAAACAAAAAGTTTCTGGAGATAATATGGAAATAAATATTTATCTAAGAACCTTCCACTTCCCTTTCCCCTCTGCTCCTGTGGTCTCCTTCCTGTAACTCCAGGAAGTGGTTTACATATGTACACCAGGAAAAAAAAAGTAGCCGGTGATATTAATGTTGTTCAGCGCACAAATCTGTTTTATAACCATGTTATGATTCACGTCCTGCATGACTGTGCAGCCATTTCTTGAAAATTGGTAATTAAAGATGGGATTATATTTTAATTCAATGTTGATGTTCTTTTTGTGACAGGTCGAGGGGGTGCCTCTATCTTTGGTAAAAACTTTGAAGATGAACTCCACCCAGAACTGAAGTTTACAGGTAATACAAGTTAAATGATGCTCTCATAATGATATTATTATGTTGATGCTGCAGAGAACATTGCAATAATAATAATGGAGCAACAACCAGGATGCTGGGTATCATCAAAATGCCATACAGAAATTTAAAGAAATATTAATTTAACAACATCATTTTTTTTTCTTATTAATGAGGTTTAGTCTAGATTATCTGAGCCTCAAGACTGATGAAGTTTACGTGTTTCAACTGCTTACAAGATTTACTGAATTGATCGTGGTACTCTACCACCAGTAGTATTACTTTGACAAAAATCAATAATATTAATATTGAAACGTTTGTACATTTGCAGACGTACTGTTTCTGTCCGTGAAGTGAATTAAACAAATACGTTCCTTTTTCTTTGTTAGGTGCTGGTATTCTGGCCATGGCCAACGCAGGACCAGACACCAACGGGAGTCAGTTCTTCCTCACTCTTGGTCCCACGCAGTGGCTGGATGGAAAACACAGTATTTTTGGACGAGTTTGTCAGGGAATGGGAGTGGTGAACCGGATTGGGATGGTGGAGACAAACAGTCAAGACCGTCCAGTCGATGATATCAAAATAATCAGAGCAGATGTGCCAAGTTAAATTTTTTACATTGTTCCAAAAAATAAATGTTTTTTTGTAATTTGTAAAAAAAATTTGTTGCCATTTTTATTTCACAGAATTTCACTAGTAATCTATAAGGAAATAGTCACCTAAATAAAGTAAACCTCAAAGTTTCCTCAACAATTGTAATAATAGGTGACAAACAGTGTCTACAAATTGTTAGTAATAAAAAGGGTACATCTAGGTAATACTTTTTTTTAATTTATAGTCACTACATTTTAGTGTCTGTAAACTACATGCATATAAAAATATAAAACCCTACACATTTTTAAGCTTACAAAACAGCTGCCGTCATACTTTATAAGTACTGCAGAGGTTCCTGAAGCAAATGATTTCCATGTTGGAAAAACACACACAAAAAAACATTCAGAGAAAGAGTCTCCACATAAAGTCCTCTGGCTCTTGTACCCTTGAGAACACATTATCACATTTATGATACAAAAAAAATTAATGGAAAAACTATTTTGTTAATATACTGATCAAACAATATTAAATGATTAGCAGATAAAAAATAAGAAGGTCTAAATAAGTAAGTAACACTGTAAATGATTTGTAATCAACAAAAGATAAAGATAAGAAAACATAAACAAACACTTCGTATTACATTTATATATTTGTCTTCAATGCTGTGATCTGAGAGTTTCGCACCGAGTTATCGTTTGACCACCATCGGAAGGTCGTCTGCTGGTCGTGAGCTTGTCTTCAGGCGCTGAAGAAAACACGATAAATCAGTAAAACCATCACGTACGGCAGCACAGGTCGCAGAAGCGTCCAAAATTATCCACCCACCTGCCACAGGGTCCCTTTGCCATTGGCCAGTTTGCAGATCATAGTGAGTGGAATCATAATTAGCGAGGACGACGCCAAAAACCAGCCGACATAATAAGCCCACCAGGGGTAAATGTAGGTGTTGTTGAACCTCAGGGGGCTGAATTTAAGGATCAGAAATATGAGCGTGCCCTGAGAAAATAAAGTAAAAAAAAATCCAAGACAGGAATTAGTGACACTGGGTGGAACTGAAGGAAAAATGTTGATGTTACTGATGAAAACTCTTACACTGCAAACCAGAGGAGTGGTGTAGAGCCAGCAGTACTTGATCAGGGACAGAGGTTTGTATCCAATCATGTCCTTAATGTTACTGGAGAAGCGTTCAGCACCTGAGACACAAACATCACACCGTCCCTACTGAATGCATTTACAGGTAAAGAATTGTGATGATAGAACGTAATGAGGCCATCTGCTGGACAATTAGCGCATCAGCATCTTCAAAAAATATTTTAAAAAAACAGACATTACAAAAAAGGAGGAAGTACTGTATTCTGCAGACTATAAGTCACTTCAGCGTACACGTCGCACCAGTGCCCTCTAGTGGCTGTCGTGGTGAAAATGTGAAATTATATATTTTAATATATAAGTCGCAAACTGAGCCAAAGGTTGAAGAAAAGTGTGACTTATAGTCCGGTAAATATAAACAGTTAAAATATTTAATTATAATTATTATTAATTCATTTAAAATAACTACATTGTTTTACTGTATAATGGATTGAAAAAGTAAAAAAAAAAAAAAAAAAGCAACACATGCTCCCCCAGCCATCCATGTGATGTAGAAAATATAATCCCTCAGAACCTTGACCTTGACCTTGACTGAGAGCTGCCATAATAAAGAGATAATCAGTGGAATTCACGTCACTGGTCCTGATAGGACCAGCTTTTAGGACAAACTGTGAACTGGGGGAAAAGTTAATTTGAAGTCTACACTTTGTGTCTCCGTGTCTGAGACTAACGGTCTCTCCTACCATAGATCCATCCAATAATCACAGACTGGATGATCGCCATCAGGAGGAGGGTGGGACCACTGCAGACGTAGTGGTCAAAGATCTGCAGAATGTAGGCCCCGGCCTGAAGTAAAAAAAAAAAGGTGAACCGTAAGTTGGGATCATTATTTTATTTTTCACTTCCATCCATCCATCCATCCATCCACCCGTTTGACCAACTCACCTGTGACACCAGTGAAAGGCCCATCAGGTAGCAAAAGGCACAGAGGAGCATCAGGAGGATCTCTCTGCGATATCCTCTCTGGATCTGATCAGGGAACATGTCCGTTATGGAGGTCATCAGACTTTCAAGTCCAACAAACTGTGGCGAGGCAGAGAGGACAGTTAGTTCATGGACGCACTCCTGGCTGCTGTGAAACAAGAACGGCCGACACTGACCTGACCGTCTATTCCCAACAAGATGATCATGGTGAAGAAACACACGGACCAAACCTGAGGCCACGGCAGCAGAGTCACCGCCTGTGGATACACGATGAAGACCAGGCCAGGACCTGAGCGGAGAGACCAGTAATGACCACACCAACTTATTTCATTCAGGTTTTTGTTTTCTTTTTTATGCTAACCCTAAACCTAAACGCTAGGTCTAAATCAAAATGTTAAATCTAAATATTTTGGGTGAAACTAAATATTTAGTTAATAGATTTACACTGTCAATAATCATATATGTTTATATATATATATATTTTACTTTAGTTTATATAGGTATATATTATTATTATTATTATTATTATTATTTAAATGTATATATAGGGTATGCGAGTTCTGAGCAAAAAATAATTTATTTATATTATAATTAATTATAATCATTATTCTTTGAAATTTTTAAATAATAAAATAAAATAAAATAAAATAAAATAAAATAAAATAAAATAAAATAAAATAAAATAAAATAAAATAAAATAAAATAAAATAAAATAAAATAAAATAAAATAAAATAAAATAAAATAAAATAAAATAACACTGAGTCAGAGTCCACACTGAGTCAGAGTCCACACTGAGTCAGAGTCCACACTGAGTCAGAGTCCACACTGAGTCAGAGTCCACACTGAGTCAGAGTCCACACTGAGTCAGAGTCCACACTGAGTCAGAGTCCACACTGAGTCAGAGTCCACACTGAGTCAGAGTCCACACTGAGTCAGAGTCCACACTGAGTCAGAGTCCACACTGAGTCAGAGTCCACACTGAGTCAGAGTCCACACTGAGTCAGAGTCCACACTGAGTCAGAGTCCACACTGAGTCAGAGTCCACACTGAGTCAGAGTCCACACTGAGTCAGAGTCCACACTGAGTCAGAGTCCACACTGAGTCAGAGTCCACACTGAGTCAGAGTCCACACTGAGTCAGAGTCCACACTGAGTCAGAGTCCACACTGAGTCAGAGTCCACACTGAGTCAGAGTCCACACTGAGTCAGAGTCCACACTGAGTCAGAGTCCACACTGAGTCAGAGTCCACACTGAGTCAGAGTCCACACTGAGTCAGAGTCCACACTGAGTCAGAGTCCACACTGAGTCAGAGTCCACACTGAGTCAGAGTCCACACTGATAATGGTCACTGAACATTAATGAAAATGTCATTTTACAAAACACCATGAAGATGAAGCGTTTGTGCTTTTTTTTCTACTTTCAAAATGTATCAAGCAGGCCAGATTGAACCTACTAGTGGGCCTAGTTTTGGCCCGCGGACCATATGTTTGACACCACTGCAGTATTTACATGGTTAATATGAGGTTTTTTTAATGGTAAAAATGAAGAAATACGAGTATAAAAAATAGGAATATGTACTAATAAATGGTAGCTATATAAACATGATGTAATTAAACCTAGATTTAAATCATTTGAATGCGTGTTGGAACGTCCTACCTGTAGCAGTTGTTGTGGTAGGGGTTGTAGCTCCCCAGTGTGGTCAGACAGCCCAGACATATAGCGTATGAATAAAATATCTGTGTCCCAGCATCCATCCAGACCTGCCAGGGAGAGTCATGTTTTTACTTTTCACCCGTCGACACAAACATGGAACATACTGTTTGTTCCCAGTAGTTACCTGCGGGTCGGCCAGTCTGGCAGGGTTAGGCCACAGGTAGTACTTGATGCCGTGCATGGCACCGGGGAGCGTCATCCCTCTGACAAACAGCACGGCCAACATGAGGAAAGGAAACGTAGCTGTGAAGTAGGTCGCCTGGGTCGAAGAAGAAGAAGAAGAAGAAGAAGAAGAAGAAGAAGAAGAAGAAGAAGAAGAAGAAGAAGAAGAAGAAGAAGAAGAAGAAGAAGAAGAAGAAGAAGAAGAAGAAGAAGAAGAAGAAGGAAGCAGCAGGGACGGAAGGTCAGAAAGGTCAACTGACTCAACGTTATAAATTGGATTTAAATCTGAAACAGCTGTACCTTCCCCGTGGACCTCACACCCTTCCACACACAGAAGTAGCAGATGATCCAGGCCAGAAGAAGGCACAGGGAGAGCTCCCACTGCACGGACCCCACCTCTTCAATCCCACTGGATATATTTAACACCCGCCGCCTGCAGGAGGCAGTGTTTGGTTAGAGCATGTGAAGTGGGGTTTAAGACAACATGATTTACCACTATATATACTGTATATACTGACAGTCACACTGGTCATAACTAGATCAACATATATATATATATATTATATGATACATGTAAAAACATATAAATGGACTGTGGGAATCGGGGGGGTTCTCCTAAGAGGAGATATATATTTATATATTTAGTTATATATTTTTATATATTTAAATATATACATATATAAATATATACATATATTTATATATGTAGTTATATATTTTATATATATATATAAATATGTATATATTTATATATTTAGTTATATATTTTTATATATTTAAATATATACATATATAAATATATACATATATTTATATATGTAGTTATATATTTTTATATATATTTATATAAATAAATATAAATATATATTTTTATATATATTTATATATATTCTACCTCGGCACTGAGTTCTGACCCAAAGCTAACCCACGCCACACCTCCCTTTCTTTTGGTTTATAGGACTCTTAAGGACTTAAAGAAAGAAGATGAAAGCGACGTGACGATAATGAAATCAGAAACAAAGAAGAAGTCGTTGGGAAGCAGTGAGAGGATGAAATGAGAAAAGGCCGAGGAGGTCAGAGGAGAAGGATCAGTCAGGTTGGCTTCAACCGGACAGGTGAGCAGAGCAGGAACCCCGGAGTCCAGGGAGACACAGGCGATTTATCTGAGGGATTTATCGAGGATCAGACGCATCACGAGGCGTTTGAAGTCCACACTCTGACAAGAGTGAGTGGAACAAGTGAGTGGAGGTATATAATACCACACTACACCATAAAGACTGAGTGAGTGTTTGGGTCTGAACCTGCCACTGAACAGTGGGGAACCTGAAGGGAACCCACTGTAGAACCACATGTGAGTGTGGACGGTGAATCAGCATGTCCTCACTGTCCTCACTGTCCTCACTGTCTTCATGTCTAATGTTCAAAACAGTCAAACGTCAACAATTTGATTGAATAAAAGAAGGAAATGAAACAAGTTTGGTGAATGTGTTGTCATTGACAAGAACCGCACGGTGGAGGAGTGTGTCTAATGTTCAAAACAATCAAACGTCAACAATTTGATTGAATAAAAGAAGGAAATGAAACAAGTTTGGTGAATGTGTTGTCCTTGACAAGAACCGCACGGTGGAGGAGTGGTTTGTGCTCTTGCCCTACAGTGGTTCGATCCCTGGTCTTTCTGTGTGGAGTTAGCTCAGCAGCAGGCCCACAACATGCAGTATTAGGTTAATAGGTTAACTAGGTTAATACTAGTCAACAATAACAGGACCTGGGTGGTGAAAATGAATGGAAAAAAGTGCTGTTGACCAAACCACGCCCCCTGGTGTTTATCATCATCAACAATAATTAAAGTTGGTACAAACCTCACCCCCCAAACAGAGTCACTTACTGCCAAAACTCTAAAACTGATGATGATGATGACAGTGATGATGATGATGATGCATTCACTGACGTCCCGTTAGCACTCGCATTAAAGTTGTTCAACACAAAACAAGCATCTGAAAATGAAAGTTTCAAATTAAAATATTACGGAACACAGTTTGAAATGAAAACCTTACATTTACGTCACATTGTTACCGTATGTCCAAGACACAGACACAGGGTGAAGAGTTTGAACTAGAACGTTCTGCACATGACAACATACGTGTGCTCCTTACGTTAGCTCGCAGCAGCTAAAAATAAACCCCTGACAGACATGAAGCAGGGGACGGCTCGGGTTTAATCACGGTGGCATCGAACCCTCAAATAGCTGCAGTGATACCTGTGTTCCACGCGTTGTTGCAGTTGGCCCAGGGCAGATCTTCAGAGAAGGAAGAAAATAAATACAGGAAAGCCCAGGCCAGGATCACGATGTAGCTGATGCTTCCGTAGAAAATGATCATTTGGCTAGCGTAGCCTATTCCTGCAGACAAAGACAAACGGCGGGAACTGTGAACTCCCTGTTCGTCCGTGGTCTCGCGGCGGGGGGGGGGGGGCAAACCCGCCTTTTCTTCTAAACATAGGGGGAAGA